GGATGGGATGGATTGGTTATGAGTGATTGGTTCGGTACGTACACTACCAGTGACGCAATCAACGCTGGTTTGGATCTAGAGATGCCGGGCAAGACACGCTGGCGTGGAACTGCCCTGGCGCATGCCGTTTCCTCCAACAAGGTCCCTGAGTTCGTCATGGATGAGCGTGTCCGCAATGTGTTGAATCTGGTTAACTATGTGGATGGCTTGAACATTCCGGAGAATGCCCCAGAGAAGGCTCTCAACCGACCACAGGATCAGGCTCTCCTCCGCCGTGCTGCGGCGGAGTCCGTCGTTCTCATGAAGAACGAGGAGAACATTTTGCCTCTGAAAAAGGACAAGTCTATTCTGGTTATTGGTCCTAACTCCAAGGTTGCGGCGTACTGCGGCGGTGGCTCCGCGTCTTTGGATGCGTATTACACTGTCACCCCGTTCGAGGGTGTCTCGGCTCAGAGCAAGGGTGAGGTTAAGTACGCTCAAGGCGCCTACTCGCACAAGGACCTTCCTCTCCTTGGACCCTTGTTGAAGACGGCCGACGGCAAGACTGGCTTCACATTCAAGGTGTACAACGAACACCCTTCCGAATCTAACCGCGAACTTATCGAAGAGCTGCACCTGGTCTCGTCGAGCGGTTTCCTCATGGACTACGTCAACCCCAAGATCAAGTCTTTCACTTACTACGTCGACATGGAGGGTCTCTTTACCCCCGAGGAAGACGGCGTCTACGATTTCGGCGTCACTGTCGTTGGTACCGGTCAACTGTTCATCGACGGCGAGCTCGTCGTGGACAACACCAAGAACCAACGCCAGGGCTCTGCTTTCTTCGGCTCTGCTACCGTCGAAGAGAAGGGCTCGAAGGAACTCAAGGCGGGCCAAACATACAAGGTCCTCTTCCAGTTCGGCACAGCACCTACCTCCGACCTCGACACTCGCGGGGTGGTAATCTTTGGACCTGGTGGCTTCCGCTTTGGGGCCAGCCGTCGCGTCGGCCAGGAAGAGCTCATCTCCAACGCCATCAAGCTCGCCTCCGAGGCCGAACAGGTGGTCATCTTCGCCGGTCTGACCAGCGAGTGGGAAACCGAGGGCTACGACCGCGACCACATGGACCTGCCCCCCGGCAGCGACGAAATGATCTCGCGCGTGCTGGAGGTCAACCCGAACGCGGTTGTGGTGATCCAGAGCGGCACCCCGGTGACCATGCCATGGGCCAACAAGACCAAGGCGCTCTTGCACGCCTGGTTCGGCGGGAACGAGTGTGGCAACGGCATCGCGGACGTGCTCTACGGCGACGTCAACCCCTCCGGCAAGCTGCCGATCACTTTCCCCGTGCGCCTGCAGGACAACCCCAGCTATGTCAACTTCCGTTCCGAGCGCGGCCGTGTCCTGTACGGCGAGGATGTCTACGTCGGATACCGCTACTACGAGAAGACCGACCTGGCCCCTCTCTTCCCCTTCGGCCACGGTCTCTCCTACACGACGTTCACCCGCTCCGACCTGACCCTCACCACCACCCCCGAGAAGGCCCAATACGAAGAAAGCGGCGAGCCCATCACCGCAACCGTCACGGTGACCAATACCGGCAAGGTCGCCGGTGCCGAGATCGTCCAGCTCTGGGTCGCGCCTCCGGCAACCGAAGTGAACCGCCCAGTCCGCGAGCTCAAGGGCTTCACTAAGGTCTTCCTGCAGCCCGGTGAGCAGAAGAAGGTCGAGATCGTCGTGGAGAAGAAGCTGGCGACCAGCTGGTTCGACGAGATGCGCAACAAATGGGCGTCCGAGAAGGGCGAGTATGAGGTTCTTGTGACTGGTACTGGCGAGGGTGTTCTCAAGTCATCCTTCCAGGTCGAGAAGACTCGCTACTGGCTGGGTCTGTGAGTTATGATTAGAGTCTGCATGTGGATGAAGTCGCTGGACGACTCTTCTTTGTTAGAGACGCTTTATGGCTATGAGTAGACGCGGAGATTGGAATTGCATGCTTTGTGATATCTATATGTATCCATACGTACTGGACTTTCTATGCTTTTTGTAGCTTACCTACGACGACCCTTACCCATCTAGTTTCAATACTTAGTACCTGGACACAGTTGAGATATCTTCCCCTTGTATTCACGCCGGCAAGGGCTTTTTTTCAAAGGATGATTCCACTTTGTACCAGCCGCGAGACCATCGAGGGCTAGTCCAGGAGTACCCGCCTGTCCATGTAGAGCTTCCAAGGACAAGGAAACGCAGAAACAGGAGACGAAGGTAATTACCTACCCAAGAAGGGCAATGAACAGAGATGACGATGGATAATGAGCTTACACGAACTCGAGGCAGCCGATCTGGAGCCAAGACACGGAGTTGGAGCAACCGTTCGAAGCCCTAACTGGCCGTTTGGGGAATTCCATATTAACAGTAGAAGCAGCAACTCTCGAGTAAACTGCTCTGGGTTTTGAGCCCTCATATATTTTAAGCGTAGATGTGGACAGTAACATGTTGATGCGGAATTGACTGATCGTTTGCTCGCCGCCGGTAGGGAGACGGTGCCTTGGATTGCAGGGAGTACGTTTACTATTGATAGATGTGGTCTGGTGGAGCTGATATTGATGAAGGTGTCTTGTGTTTCATACTATGGTTTATGGAGTTAGGGCATAATCTGACGTGTTGAAGACCGATCTGTAAATGATCTGCCGTGGGACTTTGGTTCTATTTGTAAATAGAATCAAGTAAACCTCTCCAGTTGGACTGAACTGGGTATCGACTCTGGGGTATAACAAAGTGCTGTGGACATTCGATAAGACAGAACAAGCCACATTCAAGATTCATGAAACATTATATTCATCTACTCGTACAGAGAACCCTATCATGCCATGACCAATGGCTTCTAATGAGACAATTAATGGTGTATATAACCCGTTTCCAGACTCCAACAAAGATTTGCCGAGTGCTTCCCAACATATTCCAGACCCAATCCTCAATGCGTAGCAGCCCAATCATCAGGCAACTTCAAATCCTTCGGCAGACGATACTGCCCAAAGCAAGAGCCGGGCGTCTTGCACTTCTCCAGCTCACACCGCCCATACAACCGACAATAGCAGTCCTTCGCAGAGGGACAAGCCTGGTGATTCAACGCCTCTAGATCAACCCCCTCTGAGACCTCCGACGCAGGATTCTGCTCGATGAACAGGATGTGCCAGATGTAGGACAGGACACGGCCGGAGGTGCGGTCATCCAAGGGCGCCGCGTTGCGACGAGTGCCCGCGTCCAACAACCACTGTCGTAGCGCGACATACTCCTCCCTGGCGTGGCGACGGATGTTGGCTCGCGCGACGACGAATTGCGCGCAGCATTGCGAGCGGACGGTGTGCGTGCGACCCAGCTTGGCCTTGCTGCCAGCGCCGGTGCCGAAGAGGGCGTCGAGGGCTTTGGGGAGCGCGACGTCGGAGATGGTGCGCGCGCTCCACGGCTGGAAGACGGCTTTGAAGGCGTTGTCGAAGCCGCCCTGTGGCGCCACGTGCGGGGGGCAGGTGCTGAGACTCCAGTCGCAGCGGAGGTTATGGTAGCCCCAGGGTTCCAGGGCGGAGGGGATGTTGAGCGCGGCGAGGAGGTCGGCGTTGTCGTAGTCCGGGTGGTCGTTGTGCCAGGCGAAGCGCGAGCCGTGGGCGAAGACGGCGCCGCGCGTCGGGATCTGGTCGTAGTTGTCGATGATGAAGGTCAGGTAGGTCATCGCTTCGTGGCCGCGGTTGGCCGGGACTCGCAGGGATTTGGACTTCGGGTCCTCCGGTGCGTCGACGGTGTATACGCAGAGGTGGTACTTCTTGCTGAGCGCATCGAGCCACGAGGGATCGCCGTCGGCTTCGACTCGGGATATGACGAGGGCCGGTTTCGAGGATTCTTTGAGTCCCGGGCAGAGGCCGCGGGCCGGTGGGAGAACCTCCGAGTTCGTTTGGTAGGTGACTCTAGTCCATGGGTATGTTTGGGGATTCTTCTTAATGGGCGATGATGAGGGCGCGCGGTTCAGGTAGAGGATGAGGAATAGGATGCACCCGAAGACGGTGAGTTGGGTCAGGGATTTTTGAAATTTGCGTCTCATTTTACCGGATCATCTTAGATAGGGAATTGTATATGTACACTGTGTACTATAGGGTACTCGGGTTGGGGGTGAAGAAGCTGAGAAGCTTCATATTTTGTGAGAGAAGCTCGGAACTCCAGTAAAAAAAAGCGCGTGCGGAGATTTGGCTCCAGATGCCGGTGTACCCGAATTGTTTTTGGTGGCATAGCCCCATTCCTGCTGAAGCGATAATCTCCACTGTCAAGGTTCACAGCTGATATTTACATGAGCTGACATCTATATAATTCTTGAAAGCGATCGTTAACATAAACAGAATGAAAAGCTCTACACCCCCCCTGTGCTCGATCAACAAAACAATCAGATTGTAACCAGTCAAGATTTGCTAAGCTCTCTGAGCCGTTGTCGACACAGACATTGATTGGTTGGATCTGCATTTCTGAGTCCGGATTTCCTTTCCGGGCCAAAACATTGCGAACTCAACCGTTGTGGATCGCCGCCAAGCCCTTGTTGTGTCCACTTGGAATACAGTCACTCATACTAGAAGACTGACTAGCACTTACCTACCAGTCTAGGAAAGTGAATGTATATCCATCAGTACACTTGACTTCAGCTTCTTCTATAATAGGTGCGCGTCCTCTAGTACGTATATATATTTATGTGCTCAACCAAGGAAGTTTACTACCAAAGAGTAGGCCAATAGGGACGAAAAGAGAGAAAAACGCTGCAAATTCGGATTCTATGGATCAGAAGCAAGAGACAGTGACTATATATAACTGAGTATTATTTGACGTCACATCATATCCACAAACGCTATTCTTTGAAGCGTTTTCATCCAGGGAAGCCACACATAGACAGGGCCATCTGGATGAGCGAATGCTAAATACAGGCCAGTCCAAGACTCCAAAGCTCAACCAGTTTCCCTTAAGCTTCACCGAATCCAAATCAAGGTCACTTAGATGTCGGCGCTGAAACGGATGATCGCATCATTGTAGTCATCATCGACGTTATCTTCGCTTGCAATCTCCCACTCCATTTTTCGAACTTTGTAGTCGGCATCGTAAACGGTGTTGTAAACCGGACGCAGCACCTTCGACATTCTATACTCTGCACCGGAAATCGAGTTCTGAAAGTTGATCGTCCATGTGCGGAATCCAGAGCCTTTGATAGGCTCAAGGTCCACACTCTCGTCTCCCCCCTCGAGGGTCATGGCCTTGTCTTCACCGCTGCCTTCAAAGATGTACTTGCCTCTGCCAACCTCCTCGACGGTGACCCTTTGGCGGAAGTCTGCGTTTGTCTTGCCCGAAATGTGGACTTTGGCACCGTCCGGGATGGAGATGACCACTGGGCCTTCGGGGTGGATCATGTTGGCGTTGGGCTGCATCTTGACGAGTTGGAAGGGGTTGGTATGGAAGAGTCGGTAGTAAGCTAGACGGGTTAAGCAATTGAGATGAGAGTGTATCCGAGGACAGTAGCAGACCTTCGGGTAGATTGAGGAGGTTTGGGAGCTAATTTGGTGAGCTTGAACTTGAGCTTGAGTAGATTAGTTGCTTAAGGCTGGCGATGCCTGGGTTTATATGCTTGAACAGTCGACCAAGTACGCACTATGTCAGTCCATCATTCTGTCCCTTTATCAGTTTGGATAGCAACAACAGTGGTGCCACGTATAACAAAGACGACTTCGACGCCGCAGGCTGTGTTGAATGAAAATCAAGAGATAATCCTTGCCGTCACAGGTAGTCAAGCATGTATACCGTATGCGCAGATGCCTGAAAGCTTCCTAGACAAGTGGCACCATCCGGAATCGAATGCATGTACCAAAAGACACAGTGCTATGGAAGAGAAAAGCCTTCCGAATGCAGTAATGAGCTATTTCCCTGCATGTCCTGATCATGAGTGACCGGATTACCAGGGACGATATTTGCGATACGTCAGATTTATGCCCCTCGGAAGATGAATTGACCTGCGAGTCAATCGCCTAGTGCCTGTTTTCTGTCGATGCCTAGCGCTGGAGGTGAGAACTGTATGTTATTTGTCTTTCTCTACCATGGCGGCGCCACCAATGGACAAATCATGTATTTTCCCCGACGGTAATCTCGTCAGGTGAATTACAGTGGCCCATCTGGGGCATCTGAGATGTATCAATACCTTAGCAGATATAGGTAGCTCCGTAAATGACCATAGTATTCGCCCAAAATGTAGAGCGATGGGATAGATGACCAAGTTCTGGTATTCTTTCCAAGTGACAGTTGGGCGAGAATACGGAGCAGGATGCGAAGACGGGCGATAGGAACCACAATAAGACCAATCAACGAAAATATTGGCATGTTGAGGGGTTTTCCTTTGCTTGTCGACGTAAGGCAAGCCCTACCCCCTGCAATCTGTCAAAAGTGGATGTACCTGGTCCTTTGCCCCGCCAATGACTAGGCAACATCATATGCATCCAAGCAACACTAGGATGGCATCGACAATTAATCGAGTCCACCCACACAAATTGCTCAATGATATATTCGGCGTGTTTGAGGTGAATATAGATAAGGTCCATCCAAAGGCTCGCAATATCAGTGCATGTAGCAGGCATAAAGTAATGAATCCATCGGCACTTGCCGACGATATACAACTGAACCTGGAGTTATTCTAAAGTTGAGCCAGTGGAGGAATAAATGCCTTACCCGCTCTTGCAGACCAGCACTGCACGTGCCGTCGGCAGATCACAGCCCTTTCGCTTGCATGGGTTCTTGGAAGGCCACGCTGGACATGCGGCACGCCACTTCTGTTCCAAGTTGTTGGCTTCTATTACCCCACTTGTCAAGCTAGGACGTAGTCATAAGGGATCTTGGAAGGCAAGCCGGAGGATTTGGAACTCTGGCAGTAAGGGACATTGATTGGACCTTGTCCCTCTACCTGGCGACCATATAAAGACAATACAAGCTGAGGGCTATGCCACGTCAGGCATACTATAATACACTGTGGCATTTGATCACTGGACTAGTTTCGGGATGCTTAGAACACACTAAATCTTTCGGACTGTATGATTGGGAGGAGAGATACAGATGAACATGTCAATATGCCTGTATGTCCGGATATGGCAAAATCGTGAAAATTCGGGAGAGGCGTAGTTCAGTCAATATTGGTATCTTGAAAGGAAATATTCATATGGACTGTGGTCCGGTATGATCTGATGAAAGGAAAGGTAAGAGAGGGGAGGGGAGGTAACAAGAAAGACGCAATACTAAAGCAGATGCATCATGCTTCGCTATTAAAACATGCAATCAGAACAGAACTTCAAGGTTCCCATACATAAACACGGATACAAATACTATCGCTAATAAATCCAGCAGGATCGCTTCACAGATACATGGCAATTAATGTGAGAAGACGCGTAGAACAAAAATATGTTGGGAAATTCCCGACACTCATTGATAATGAAGCATTATCAGTGGGTAATGCCAAAGGGCTGCTCCACCAGAGCATGGTTTGCTTGGCCAGGGCCCCTTCGCGTTTTGAAAAAGCCGGCAATCTTCTGGAAAAGGTTAGGTTTATCATTGGAGGATGAAGGTGTTTCTGTGTGAGGCTTCCAATTCGGCGTAGTTGCTTTGCTCCTATGTGACCAGGACGTTTGGAGTCTGGAAGGGATTGTCTGGTGCTCTGATTGTGGATTTTTGTGCAGCAAGGCTTGTTTTGGTGTCTGGGGCAATGCATTCGAGTTAGAATCAGCCGCGTTAGCTTTCATCTTTGCCATGACTGCTTGTTGCAGATCGAGGTTACGCTGCGCCTCTTCAGCAACTGTTAGAATGTGCGCGAAGCCATTACCATCGATGATAACTCCGGGCTCGTTTTCACCCTTGCCAGATTGTGGAGAGTCTAGTCCTGCCATAGTCCCTGGTCTCTCTCCAAGGAGCCTCGACTGGGCAATTATCTCGGGCTGTCGACTTTGAGTAAGGCCACTAGAGACTCCAAAGCTTGGCGAAGTGCTGCTAAGGAATGCTGAAGGTGAGGTGAAGCTCGGAATTCCGTTCGAGTCCAAGCCAAGGTCAGGGTTGAGAAAAACTTCTTCTTCCAATGCCTCATCTGTACTTAGACCCGAGTTGCACATCCTAGCGAGGAATGACATCGTATCCTGGTCTTTCGTTTGAGTAGCTCCTATGGAACTCCCCATCATGGATTGCACTCTCTCCAGTGGGGGATCCTTGACTAGTGATTGACTATTTGGAATTTCCGTACGGCTGGTATCGGAGCCAGAGGTAGTGCTCCTTACCTGGCTGAGCAACGATCCGGATGTGCGCTCAGCGGAGTCGGGGTGTGCATCGGAATGAGATGACTTCAATAACCGCATTGTCTGTCTGCTGGGTTGCTGGGTTAACCCAACACCGGAGTCGAGTTTATCTTTCAAGGCAGCAACCTCGGCGCCAACCTTTGGTGAAAAGTATTTCGAGTCAATTTGCGGTTCTGTTGTACCTTGTCCAGCGCTAGAATGTTCTCCTTTCTCGTTTCCCATACGTGTCGACGGCTTAGATGATTGGTTGGCCGGTGGTGACGGCACGCCGCGTTCAATTCGGTATACAAGTAATGAGCAAGCATATCTAATGTCTGACTCGAGCTCCGGGCTAATGTATTGACGATGGGCTGAAGGCGATGATGGCTCATTATAGCCGGGGGAGTCCACAAAATCATAATATCGAGTAGGTTGTTCCTGAAATACTGAGAATGTGGGTTTCTAGGGAGTGTTTATGAGCCTCAGTTATGAAGAGAAACGATGGTCTAGGGTATACTCACTTGTATATGTAACAGTTGAGAAATAGATCCACGCCTATTCATAGACGTGCCTTTTCTCCTGAGAATCGATTCCATTGTGGATGACCGGAACACTGAACAAGAATACGGCCACGAGAGAAGTGAAACACACTTGATTGAAAGAGGGCACTGAAATTGTCCGAGTGGAGAGGAAACGAGAGGACAGTGATCACTATTCACTGGGCGATGTCGGTTTATTCGACTATACGTATGGTCTTTGACCAGGCAGCCTTAACAATTTCAATTCGACAGTGCAACAAAGCGTAGGCAACCAGTCCCAACAATGGGCAAATGAACTACCAAGCCGATCACAAATGAAAATAGTAGAAAATAATCGTTTACGGAAAGTGTTCCAGAATGAAAGTCGAAGTCGCCTGAAGCGATGGCCTGGAATGTGGGGGCAGCCCAACTAGGCTTATATCAAAGGAATGTGGCTAAAAAAAAGATTCCAGATCCAGATCTGAGGCCAAGATGAGAACCATCCTATGACGAAAGAAATTGAATAGTAACACGGAAAGCGTTTGGTGTCAATAAAGCGCCGGGTCGCATGCGATGCATGAGGGAATTCCGGTATCAATACAAGGCGACAGGGCAAATAGATACCGCAGCCCCAGTGGAGGAGGGAAGGAGAATCACAAGCTCGGTTAACACATGAGACATAAAATGCTTTCCGAGGACATGGCCAAAAGAGTGGCTGCGGTGCAGGTGGAGTGTATCACCGAAGGAAGGAAGCGAAAGCAAAACTGTTAACAATGAGTGAACGCCATTATCACGGGACAATGTAACCCTGATCACACTTTGAGTCCCTCAAACTATGAAAGTCATAATAACAGCTTCAGACTGTTAGACTCGGGAGTCATTGCCTAGGGGAGCTTGAAACAAAAACACGCATTAACTTTCCTGGGTCAAGACCAATAACCCCAATGGCGCCCAAGGGATGCCACCTCCCGCGAACTGACTTGAGCATGAAAACCGAATCCGGACCCTCCTGAAGGTGCATTAACTCCAAACTGGGGAATTAGTTCAATGATCATCAAATGAAACAAGGAACGGCTTTCTCCACATTACCTGGGGTGGGCCGGGAGATCATCTGGATCAATAAGCCCGGGGAGAGACAGCTCATATTCACTACCTTACATCTCATAGCACCATCAGTGTTCAGGCTGAGAAGGGCATTGTTGTTCTGCCATACCTCGCAGTCGCACAATGCGTTTTCTCTTACTGAATCCCTTCGTCTGTTTGCAAGCCAGGAGGCAAAAGGGGGGAATCAAGGGGTCGGCCGATGAACGCCCGAGATAGAGATCGTCCATTATCCTCCCAATCGGGCACTTCCAAATCATTTGCCCCACGACCTCAATTACAGACCCAGTCACCCCATTGGTTATGCAGGGAGACTATAAACTCTGGATCCATTTCCTGCATGAGAAAAATTTTCGTTGTCCTTTTTGAAGGAGTAAGTCTCTTTACCGATGTTACTCCGTTTCGTGTGTATCCAATGTCTCGAACGGCCGACGGGAGCTACAGGATCCACATAGAAATTCAGATCCAAAGGCATTATAAACACATACAAACATACTCCGGAGTACAGTTCCCTGCATCATCCCAGCTCCGATAGTATTACTTATATTCGACGGGTCAAATTTAAGTCCGTGTAAGACAATCAATAATTTCGCCATAGGTATGTTCCTTTTGTCTGCATAGGTCTGTAAATTCCGCGGTCAAAGGAGAATGATGAGGACGGATCGGCCCATGTACCTTGGATACTACTTCGTGTGTGGCCCCATATTAGCCCAGAAAAGCCAAACGAAGGAGAAAAAGAAAAGAGGCGAGCATTAGCAGAAAGCCTGTTATTATTACACGTATCACATGCCCGAGGTCCCCCGGCAAACGCACGGAAGGAGCCGCCGATCTGAGTCTTTCTTCCCCAACTGTTCCCGCGGCTTGCGCACGGAATCTCCATCTTCAGACTCCTCAAGGATAATACCCCGCACTTTAGCTTCAACTTTCATTTGGGGTCATGCGTTCCCCAGATTTTTTCATGAAGAATTGAGTTCTGTTGGCTGACCAGAGGTTAAGGCAGAGAGTGCATCGACATGGGCTCAGGCCTTTAAGAGGCAACCTCTACCGCGATGCTTGCCGCCATTTTGCATGGATGGACAACCCGGCGTGACCTTGGGCGGAAAGCTAGAAATGGGACGGTCAACGAATGCGCTTCCCCACAAAGCTAAAAGATGTCCTGACCAGCAACACGCTGCAGATTATGACTTGTCACGGTGTTCAGGGTTCCTGACATCACCACTCAAGTAGTCATCAAGGCACAAGACCAGGAATCTGCATCTGGTATCATATGTCTGTGTTGGTCCGTTGAAAGCCTGCGACTGGATTGCTTGACGGAACCGCCGTCATCGTGCTTGAGGAATATGCGTGATCTGTGCTTTATTGCAGATCCTACCAAGGAAGATGCGGCTGTTGAGCTCTTCAACGATATCTGGAATCGGGCGTTCAAGATCGTCCAATGACTAGTTGGCCCTTTAGGCAGGTTTGTAACATTGATTTCACAGTAGCTTTGGAGCTTCTCTGCTCTTTCCTGAAGCTAGTGCTGGCATCCTTCTTACCCATAGCTTTTTAAACGGTGCAGCGTTACATCAAATAAGCATCATTGGTCTAGTGGTAGAATTCATCGTTGCCATCGATGAGGCCCGTGTTCGATTCACGGATGATGCACGGATCTCTTTTTTGCCCCATATACTTTCTGAAAGTCTCATCGTTTTATTTTACCTTTTAGTTGCCTTCTCTGAAAGACTAATTGAACCCCCAAATCACTTTTATGCCGTACGTGCAAACCAGCGAGGCCTCTTGTTGAGTATCGTAAGGAGTTGGGAGTAACGCCTAAGGCTTGTCCTGAACGGACACAATCTTTACAACCTATTTCTGTCATTCTTTACCAAGGATGGTATTAAACCCCAAATCAAACAATTCAATTCACATGTTTTCTAGCATTGATGGTTGACATCTATCTATTATGCTAATGGAAGATCTATTGATTATGTTGAAAGATCGCCCACCACCCTAAGAAGGACTCCCTAGTTGAGCGAGATCACTTTGGAAAGGGCTAATGATGGAGAGCAGTTGGATGCTTCTTTTACAGCCTTACCTGTTAGTGAGGTACGAGAGAGGCAGTTGGATGCTCAACTCTCTGACTGGCTAAGAAAGAAAATAACAAAGACTGCACCGCTACTTCCCCGGAAAACTCGATGCGAGCGGGATGAGGGCCCGCGGCGTACCCTCTCTCTCGGTTGTTAAAACGAGAGAAGGTACGGAGACCCTTGGTGACCCATGGAGCATCGATCGATAAGATTAAGGCTGCAACGTATGCGCCAAAAAGGTTAAGAAACCATTCTTATCGCTTTACCAGGCGGTGATATCTTCTACCTCCGCCTCTCCGAATGTGCTGCTCTTGGTTAGCTTATTCACACCGTCCACTTCCACAGCCCCATTCGCTGGAGCTTTGGACATGATGTCCGGCAAGACTTCGCGGAAGAACTCCAGAATGTAGCGGTTGACTTGCTCAAACTGGAGGAGGAAAGCATCGTGTCCTTCAGGGCTTTCGATACGTTTGAGGCGCGAGTCCGGAATGCCAGCTGCAATCTCTTTCTGCTCCTCGAAAGTGAAGAGGCCGTCACTCTCAATTCCCAAAACCAATGCTGGCTGTTGGATTTGCGCAAGAGCCTCGCGGACAGGATCGCTCGATGTCGGGCTCGCCCGTTGCCTTGACACGTCATGGGTGTCCAGTTTACGTGTGATGGCAATGTAACAGTTAGCGTCGAACCGTTTCACAAACTTCTCTCCCTGGTAACGAAGATACGACTGGGCGGAGAAATAGGTTGGCGGACGTTTCTGACCGCTCTTCAGTGCGGTATCGACGGTTTTACTAAAGGTTTTGGTCCCGGAGAACTGGGGGTCCATGTACTCAATTTCCGTCTGTTGGGTCGTGGGAGCGGTGGGAGAGTTGCGCCCACTAGGCGTCGAACGACCGCCTTTGTGCCCATCATTATGGATAGCCCAGTGCTCGTTCGGGGGTGTCGGCAGCTTTTCAGTACCCTTGATGTTTTGTTGCTTGGTAGGGTCCGGAACATTTCGCCCAAACCGAGATTCGAACGAATTGCGGCTCCGGTAGGTAAGAAGAGCGGACATGCGAGCGGCGCCAAGACCAGTAGCAGGAGGATCATCAAAAGAATAATAGCCGTCCTCGTATTTAGGGTCGCTATAGATGCTTTGGCGCTGGGCCTCTCCCCAACTGATGCACCATGCGGAATGCCGCGGAGAGGTAGCAATCGGTACAATCGCTCGTACATAATCTTTGCCGAAATATGCATATTCCAGAGTGAGCATACCGCCCATGGAGCCACCCACAACTGCAGCAATCTGTCGGATACCCAGATAATCCAGAACGATCTTGTGGATCCTATACTTTGTGTGAGTTGCTTTGCACACTTCGACATTCCCCACATAGTCAATCACATACCTCACATCATCACGAACTGTAGTAAGTGGAAACTCTGGTCCATACAATCCCTTTTCTGGGTTTCCATCCTTGTAGGTCACGGCACTGGCGCTTCCGTACGGACTACCCAGACTGTTCAAGCAGATCACGAAAAATCGAGATGTGTCGAAGGCTTGTCCGGGGCCACCCAGAAGTGGACCCCACCAATCTGCGACATCCGCACTACCGCTCAGAGCGTGACAGATCACCAAGGCATTGTCTCCGGTCTCGGACAGCTGACCCCGCGTGGTGTAGGCCACTGGCACATTGTACAACGTAACGCCCGATTCCAAAGTAAACGAAGGGATCGAAACAAATAACTGATCCGCGATGAGGTTTGAGAAGGGGTTCTCAGGTTGAGAGTCGAGTCTCTCTACGGGATTTAGTAGCTGTTCATTTTCATAAGCCATAGTGGGGCATGGGAATTACTGACGGGGTTGTGCAGGCGCACCGTTCGATTCAGTGGCCATTTTGAACAATTCGTTCAGGGAAAAGAAACGAAATCAAGGTAAAAAAAAAAAAAAAAAAAAGAAATGCTATTTGAGACAAAGAACTTTTTCACAAATAAACGAGATGGGAGAGGAAGAAAATCAGAAGAAGAGATGTGCAGACCGATCTCAATTATGACTCTTTGGAGCCTGACCCACTGGAAGAGCGTATTCGTCATACGGGACCAATAGGAACACTTGAAATTCCTTGACCCCGACCTCGGCGGCTTCACTGTTTTTCCGTCCCTGGTAAATTAATCCCGCGGGATTGCCACTCGGAGCTGTGCTGCACTTTGATATGCCGAGAGTCCCCATATAATAATTACTTACTCCGGAATATACTACTCTATGTAGCCTCCAATTGTACGATCAAAAGACTAGTATTGTGTTGTCATCAATTCAAACTGAATATGTCACCTCCTTCCGGTCCATCCCGTGCGTTCGTTATCCTCGCCGCCGTTGATTTGTAGAGTCGAGGCAAGTGAACATCCTCGAAGCTCTTACCATGATGGATCATGTCAGCAAGTCCTTTTGCGCTCAGGAAGATCACTGGCATGCCATGACCATCGAATCCGGCACAAATGTATTGCCCAGGTTTACCGGGAACTTCACCCACATGTGGGCTAGTATCATACGAATACCCCATGACTGTTGTAGAAGATGGTTTGTTAGTATCAGGCCCATCCCAACGGATATCATCCAGCTCGGAAACACTCACTGCCTGTCCAAATCTCCTTTACGTAGGCCCCACTATCCTCCCAGCCTTTGAATGTACGCTGCATAAAGTCATTGTAATAGTCCTTAGCTGGTTCTATCAGCGTGCTGTCATCAATCATCCCATACCACTGCCCTTTCTGATCCATGAATGTGCGCTGCGCACCCCCAACGATAATACTTCCGTCCGGCCTCGAGATCAGGTAGCTGCCGCCGCTTTCACCAGTCTTCGTGCCGATGACATAAGAGTAGGGCAAGAATGGTGCGGTTTTACCGTCCGGAATCCCAATATGGCAACATATTCCACGACAGGGAACTATACTAGCTGAATACTCGGGCAGCAGGCCGGAGGTGTATGCATTTGAGGCGTAGACAACTTTAGACGTGCGGACAGTTCCCCGCGGAGTATGGATAACATGACCGGAATTGTCAGATACTACGGAAATAACCGGGGTAAATGCTTGCACATTAACGGCAGGCGAGTCCGCAATCTTTGAAAGGAGACCCAATATAAGCTTGTAGGGCCACAAGGTACCGGACGTGTATGAGAGACATGCTTTGGCATCTTTGACCCCGGAAATCTGTGCAGAATATGCGTCTTAGCTGAATAGCTTTCTTTGGGACACGAGAACTTTGAAATGCCCTTACCCCTTCTGCATTCTTTGATGGTGTGTAGTGTATGTCGTCTGCAAAATCTAGGCCTCGTGACACTAAGTCTTCATAGTTCTTTCTTGCATTTTCTCCTGCCGCTTCATCCAAATAAACGCTCAAACACCGAGTGATATTGAAGTCACAGTCAATGTTTTCTTCCGCAAGGAGATCCTTGAATACTTTTATATGGCTGAGTTCAAAGTTGGCCACCTGAGCGGCAGCATCCACTCCATGTCTCTTAATATAGGTAGGGATACGGTCATACAAGTCGGGTCGTAGGTGACCGCCTAAGCCCATAGTCAGGATTGGTAACTGGAGAATGATTTTCTAAGCAACTTACCGTTTCGACCAGTTGCACCAGAGCAAATCTGCCTCGCTTCAAGAATAGTAATAGCGGGGTGAGACTTATTGTGGCCTTCGAAATGTTTCAGAAGGTGATATGCAATGCTAACACCAGAATAACCGGCCCCTATAATGACGATATCACTCTGGTCTGGAAGAGTTTCTGTACTTCGGAGCTCATCTAGTGGGTGAGGTTCTGTGCGCCAAAACGGCCGAGTAGGATTATCAACTGGCAGGAAGGAGGGAAGACGTTGATGGGATCCCATATTTTGAAGGCAACTTGAAGATTGTAATTTTCTGTCTGCTCCTTTTATGGTCTCACATCAGAGCACTTGATTGCGAGTACACCGAGCACCGATGTCCTAGTCTTGTCGGACTAAAAGAGTCTATGCTGAAGTGATCAGTCGTGTACTAATGCGGGGTTATTCATCTGAGCTTAGGAAATCCCTGCTATCACTCCAACCTATCAATGCTGCATTCTGCCTATACTTATCATTTCTGGTTTATACTCTTGTATCTCTCCTCCCTTATGTACACGGTCCAAATAGAAGTAGTTCATACGCTAAACCAACATCCTCTATATAATATTCAACTATTAGAAGCCAGCACCGCATCAGCCTTCTGCATAAACCCACTCATCGCAGCTCGATACAGCTCTGGCCCCAAGCTAATCCTCGCAACACCCAGCTCCTTCACCTCCGGTACTGTCAAAAACCCATCTCGCAGCACCAGCTTCACATTTAATCTCCCCTGAAAAGCCACAGCCAACTCTTTAATCTCCTCCTTTGACACCCCCCTTCCACCAGCCCCACCCCAAACAAACACAGTACAAGCCCCGGCCTTCAAAAAAGCTCTCCCCCTCTCAATAGCATCTTGAATACTTCCCGGTTTGCCACCGGGGTTATCCCCCAGGACATCCGTCCTGGCATTGACCACAAAATCAGGAACGCCGAGCTCCGCCGCAGTCCGCACTGCCAGTTCAATCCGCGCCACGGCCTCCGACAAAGGCCGTAACTGGCCCGTAGCACCGTCTAGATCTTCAATGTTGCACCCTACTGCGCCCACGCTGATGATCTCTCTGATCGTTTCGGCAACATCTGCGTAGCCGTCTTGGACGTCGACTGTTAGGGGAAGCTTTGTCGTGTTTTCGGTGGAGTCTTTATTTTCTGGAAGCGTATTGGGTTTTAAGATAGCTGCTATGGAGCGAACGGCGGCGAGGTTTCGGGGTAGGGTTAGAGCTTCATCGGGAATGCCTTGGGAGGCTGCGATGGCGTAGCTTGCGGTTGCGATTGCTTTTGTGGAGGGGTGGCTTGCGATCAAAGAGGCTGTTGCTGCGTCGTAGACGTTTGTAAGGAGGATTGGGTGGCCTGGGGTGTGGAGGTTGCGGAAGTGGATGGCGAGGTTGTTTTGGGCGGTTTTGATTGCCATGGTTAGTAGTTAGGGAAAGGGTAATATTTCCAGGTAAATAGTGATAGGGGCCTGATAATAATGAAAGAAGGAAATTAGGTCTGAAGATTATGGCTGGTTTCAACTTTTATAATATGGTGAGTTGAGTCACTGTTCGTACTCAGGCTTTACTAAGTGTCCGTATACATGCTTGTTGCTCTCAAAGTAACCAATCACAGTGAACGATGCATCAGGATTCCCGTATTCCCATACTTAGTGCTGCAAGAAATACTCTGGAAGTTTCAGAGGTTCATTATAAGGCTAGTGACTGCCAGTTTCTATTGACCGAGGACTATTTGACGGGTTCCAAACATCAGTGGTTGCATGGTTACTTGGGTTTGCACCAGATGAAATACTGTGGCTGGTATCAATATATTTTTTATTTGTCTTGATATTCCAGTATGGGGGTGAACAAGACTATCGGTATGAATAGAAAAACAAGCAAGAAGATAGATGCGCTCGACAATAATTATTGATCTATTGGCCACCATCTAAGCAGAACATATCTGATCACCGGAATGTATAGTTTCAAGTTGTTTTAAGGAGAACTGACAGAATGGAAGCATATTCAAAGTCAATCTGGAAAGGCGCTAAACCCGAAGGGAATGGTCATTGATGACATTAATCCACATCCGGTTAGTGTGCTACATCATTCCGCCCAAAGCTTTGAAACAACTCGGCCTGGAGTCCGACCGCAGGGGCAATCGCATCGCAAACTACTATGGCCCTGACAACCCCAACGACATCCGCTCCGTGAATATATCTCTACCTACTATCTTACATGACCCCGTTTCTAACCGCGCGCGATATTCGTCAACATGACCGATTACTCGACATGGAAAGTGACTGAACTGAAGGCGGAACTGAAGCGACGCGGCATTGCGCAGACCGGCCTCAGAGTCAAACAGCAATTTATTGACAGACTCGTGGAGGAAGACGCGAAGGGCGCCGAGAGCCCAGTCGCGAAGGAAGATACCACTGCGACACAGAATGCTGTTGAGGAGTCACAACCCGCCGAGGAGAAACAACCTACGCCGCCTGCCGTGGATGCTGCAGAGTCACACAGCCCCAAGCCTGAAGAACAAGTGCAGGAACAACAGCAGGATAAAGAAGTGTCAGGTACTGATATTGGTGAAACGCAAGCCGAACAGAAGACCACAGATGTGACACAAGATGCCGACGCTCCTACTGAGAAGGAACGAGAGCCACCATCCAAATCGGAGCCGGCAGAACTAGCAGAAGCCAAGCCTGAAACTGGCACTTTGACGCAACCGGTTGAGCAGGCTCCCGGCAATGTGGAAGAGAAGGAACCTACACTTACGAAGGAAGAAAGCACAGGCCAGACTGAGTCTGCTGAAAAGGTTGCGCCAGCTGCTGCACCCCCCTCAGAATTGGCTACCGGAGTGTCTACGCCCCTCCCCGCCGAGGAGCTTATTGAAGACTTTCGAAAAAGGAAGCGTCGCAGTCAAAGTCCTGTTCCTACACCCGAAGCGCAGGCGAACAAAAAGGCGAAGCTTCCAGCAGAAGCCCCTAGGGTTCTCTTGTCGGAGGACAGCGGCGCGATGGATATTGATGGGGTCACCAAACCGGACGAAACTGTTCCTGTCTTGCAAGAGCCTTCAGAAGAGCATGTCAATGTCAATCAACCTGATGAACAAGCTACTGTGCCTCATGATGATTCACATCCCCCTTCTAGCTCCGATAACTCACGAAGCAAGAAGAGTACCGCGCCGAAACAAGACGTTCGTTTCAAGGGCCTCTTTGTAGCTGGCGAGACGGAACAGACCCGCCCTGCATCTCCCCCCGCAGATACAATATCTGAAGATGCGGAAGTTGAGCCGGCCTTACATGTTGCGACAGCAGCACTGTATGTGGGTGGCCTGATGCGCCCGCTTCAACCGGCTGCTCTTAAGAGTCACCTTATTAATATTGCATCACCCCCTGGTGCCTCACCTGATCCCGACGTCGTTGTCGATTTCTACCTGGATTCCATCAAGACACATTGTTTTGTCAACTTTACCAGCGTTACAGCAGCGTCTCGTGCCCGTGCTGCTCTTCACAATACTGTTTGGCCTAATGAGCGGAACCGCAAAACTTTGTTTGTGGACTTCATTCCCGAACAAAAGTTACATCAATGGATTGATACCGAAGAGAATTCTCGTGGACGTAGCGGCCCTCCAGCTCGCTGGGAGGTAAAGTACGACCGAACTGACGACGGAGTGGAGGCTGTCTTGGAGGAAATTGACCCGAAGAATGCGGGACCCCGTCCAGCCCGCGGACCGGCGCCAAGTGACTTTTCTCGGCCCCCACCGTTGGGCCCACGAGCGGATATGGAGAAGAAAGACCGACGGCCTAGTGGCCCTTCACAAGCAGAGCCCAGCTCTCGACCTGGGCAAGGATTCAAACCACTCGATGAGCTATTCATGTCTACTACCACCAAGCCGAAACTGTACTATCTTCCTGTCCCTCGCGACGTGGCGGATCGGCGTTTAGACCGATTCGATGATCTGCTGCGAAAAGGATCGTATCCTCGTCCCGGCGGCGACGAAACTCGCCGGATATCATTCGAGGACGGCGACTTGTTTGTGGACAATGGCCCTGAATTTGGCGGTCGGAATCGGCGACGAGGTGGTCGGGGGCGAGGTCGAGGTGGCTTTGGGGACTCCTGGAGGGGCGATCGAAAAGGGCGTCCTTGAAGAAGGTTCTTGAACCGGTGATGATACCATGTGCTATATGGGCTCTATTCTCAGATTAAAAATCCGACCAAGCTATGGCTTACTTTCTTGTGATGTTGGCTAGGGTTTATGACGTGTACAATATAGGGCTGAAAACTGCCGGATGGGCGCTTAGGAATGTATATTACTGAAAAAACTGAGAAATTATGATGACACCGGGAGATGCTCCTTTCCGTTTCCTTGTCCTCCTGCCATCTTGACTTTCAAGTATATTTCTTACTAGGATTTGTTTGATATAGCCTTAGTCATCGGGGCTTGGTGAAAGCTTAGCGTCTCTTGTGCTTGCTGGGCCTTAATCTTGATTGGGAGCCAATGCTTCGTGTTCCGAGGCGCAGTCTGATGCACGACCAAAATAATTCTTGGGAATGATCACCGCCACGATGAATGCTCCACACGTTGAGGCCAACATAGACAACTATTTTCGGCGAGCCAAGTGCTCAGCTTTGTGGACAGTCCTCTTTGTTTTCTGGCTATACTAGTAGATTGGTTCTTGCCGATCCCTCGATGATTTTTCTTTTTTATTGTCATGCGTTGTTCCTTCCTACTTTTTCTACTATCTGAATGAAATCACCGATGCGACATTCTGGTCATTTTTTCCAGGGACATTGTCGCGACACAAACGCCCGTTGACGTTGCGAAACCGACAAAGAAGAAAGAAGCTCAGTTGGTTCCCAGGGGGGTCGGCCACTTCGGAACAAACCGACGGGGCGGATAAGATAGCGCTGCCTCCTGCTGCACGCGGATAAACATCTCAAAAAGTATTTCTTCGTTCTGACCTGACTTACTCACCACCTTTTGCTTTTTCAACCAACCGAGACCTGTATTTTCTGTTACAGGTCTCACGATCTGGCGCTAAAATGGGCTGGCCAGTGTGTAATTCGACACTGGAAGAGGGAACCAGTACGCTCCCAATTCCTGACCCCTTCAAGATCACAAGCTGAACAGGAGATTCGAACCACAGTTGAAGAGACAGACTTGTGGAATGGCGGCATTACCTTCCACCGTCTCTGCGAGATTGTTGGCGGCGTGTTCGCGCTCATAGCCGCAGGAGTCTCCTTTTTCTTGATTATGTGCCATGCCACGCATTACAGCAAACCCATCGAGCAACGACAGTATGGCCCCATCTCTACTACCGCCCTCGCCTTGGTTTTTCATGATAGTAGACACTAACGGTATTTCTTGTGTCATAGTATTATCCGCATCCTCCTCATGGTCCCGGTTTATTCCCTCGTCGCATGGCTCAGCATCTATTTCTACAGAAACTCCGTTTACTTCTCGGTGATCGGCGATTGCTACGAGGCGTTCACGATATCGGCTTTTTTCGCCCTGCTCTGCCACTACATTGCGCCAGACTTGCGGAGTCAGAAGGAATACTTTCGCGGAATTGACCCAAAGCCATGGCTCTGGCCATTGACCTGGTTTAAAAGGTGTTGTGGTGGGGAGCGGGGGATATGGAGGACCCCGCGAAGCGGACTGACCTGGTTTAATGTAAGATGCTTACGGCACCTCTACGGCTAGTGGGTTTTGAACAGGGCTATCTATACTAACCAGGCTGTTTCACTTAGATCGTTTGGGTGTCCGTCTTTCAGTATTGTCTACTGCGTGTCCTCATGACTATCGTCGCGGTCATCACGCAGCATTTCAATGTGTACTGCGAGGAATCACTGAATCCAGCATTTTCTCACATCTGGGTATAGTTCAAGAAACCGGTAACCTTTGGATTCCAAACTAATTGGGCTCAATAGGTCATGGCTGTCGAGTGTGTTGCCGTCACTATTGCAATGTACTGCCTGATTCAGTTCTATGTCCAGGTCAAAGATGACATTAGCCAGTACAACCCCTTCTTGAAGATTCTTTCGATTAAACTTGTGATTTTCCTTTCTTTCTGGCAAAGTGTGAGTACATACCTTTTACCGGCCCCTCGTCCACAATGTCTAATTTGGTATTCAGATATGCATTAGCTTCCTATTCTCCGCGGGAGCAATCAAGGCTACTAAAAAGATGGCAGAACAGGATCTCAAGGTCGGACTTCCCAATTTGCTTATCTCGATTGAAATGGCTATCTTTGCCGTTCTGCACCTATGGGCTTTCTCGTGGAAGCCCTACTCGATCGGAAATACTGCAGTCGAGGTGACCGACTTCTACGGAAACGGCAAAGCAACTTACCAAGGTGGCCGTTGGGGTATGAAGGCCCTTGTCGATTGTCTTAATCCTTGGGACCTCGTGAAGGCTGTTAGCCGCAGCATGCGCTGGCTTTTCGTTGGTCGCAAGAAGCGAATGCTCGACCCTAGCTATCGAACTCACAACGAAGCGATCGGACTTGATGGTACTGGTGAAACCAATGCGACAGCCTACCAGGGCGCAGGTGCGATGATGAGTAGCGGGCGACAAGGGCGCTATACTCCCGACGAAGAAGGAGAAGTTCTCCTTTCAAATGCACAGCCGAACCCAACAGCGCGACCTGAAGGCGACCCGAGATTGGATCCTCCACCCTACGACGATGTTGATCATGGGCGCGACTACCCGTCTCACAATAGAATGAGCAGCTCGGCCTTACTGGATCCAGCCACCCACTCGCCACGCCCGTACTCGCCTTATGATAATCCTTTGAACAATCCTTATATTGTCCCATCCGACTCGGAGTCTGACCATCACCACACGAGCCCTACAACTTATCACAACGCTCCTTACCCACCGGATGCGCTACAGGAGCAACCACCGATGCCTATGCCTGAATCGTATCACCCTCTGTCTCATGGTGGGGGCCGGGCAAACCGAGATTTCTAGCCAACAATAGGCTTTTGAGCGCTCTATGTTGATCTCATATCATGTGTAATGAAGTCACATGTTTGGCGTTGATTCCATGCATGGCTTGATTTATGTTCAGAATACCCTATTTATGTTTTACCATTTGCTTCATTTCTACGGAGTACACATGGTCATGGGACGAAGTCTCGCGACTATGTCGTTTTGGCCTTTTTTTGTATATGATACTCTTTGGCTTCAAGATTCGATTGTACATGATTATATCTAGATACCCCTAGGATATAATGGAGACCAGTCCAATAGACAGACCACTATCTATAATGTTAACCTCTACGTTCGGAAGAAAAGTGTACAGGAATATAGAAATCTACCTCGTAAGATATTGTCTTCATTCCTCATGATAAGCTGTTCTAATAAGACCAAACGCCACTGTAAACCACCTAGGAATTGAGTTGATAATCATCATCAGCCATAAGGCCAACAAACTTATTCTAAGTCTAGCCATCGCTTATCCGTGGGCAATACCATCACGGGCGAAAAGTTCTTCCTCGAACCGGCTTTGCATGGACATTTGCGTCTTTCGGTTCGCATTAGTTCTTCGTACATTGTTGAGAATAGCGGTCCTCTTTCCTAGTTCGCGCATGCTGTTGATGCTGCTGCTTAGTTGGCCGAGGAGTGCGACTAGGTGAACATCGTTGCTCTGAGCGAGGACCTCAGCTGAGAATGCACTCTGTTCTTGAGGAGAGAGTAAGGACAAGTGTGAAAGGAGGGAGTTGATGTTGCGGAGAATCGGGTGAGATAGAGTCGCCGTTGATGATGTTGTGTTCCCTTGGTTACCACCTTCAGATGCTGGAGATATACTAGCGACGTATGATTTTATCAACGAGATTCGAGATTCTAGTGTCCGGATCGCATTGAGCCGGGTGTTGAGACTGGCGATCACTGCGAGAGCATACCATATTAGTGATTGGACGTGGGTTCCGCGCGCGGGATAAACTCACGTTCTTCTTCCTCCGGCGAAAGCACCACAGTATCGGCCGGCTGTTCCTTCTTGTCGGTTTTCTTCTTCAGCACTTCTTTTGCTGCGGAGAGTGCGCTCGGCCCTTCAACGGCTGCATTTCTCGCAGTTCTAGCGACAGTATCGATACCTATCATCTCGGCCTCCCCGGTTTCGACGAAATATGGCAGTTCCCGGAATCGTATGCTCAACGACTGTTCCTCGCCATCTACTTGCATCGTTTTCTCGCTTTCTGTGGCATTTTCGCCTCGTATACGCTCTCGTAGACTGTTAATGGTAGTTTACCACCGTTTGCTGATGCGCCCTTCACTTGAGAGGGGTGGAATGCGAGAAATACCGCGGATTCGTTATGATCTTGGAGGATTTGGCGATGAATCGGGAGATGAGTTGCGTCTGGACCGGATGGGGGAGCTGTTGACCACCATCCGACAATATCAAGGGCAGGGACTTTATGTACATCCTTGACTATGACATTCGTTGTCAGCCGGCGTTGGAAGTGTGACGTATGTTGGACTTACATTGTTTGACTCGTTCATTAAACCATTCATTTGGTAGTTGGGGCTCGCCGTTTGGACCTTCTTCCACAATACATTCGAAAGCGTGCTCTAGTGTTATCTCGCGCCCGTTTTGTTGCCCGAGCAGAGCTCCGAGGATTGGGCCTTGCTGTAATCTTGCGGCATGTCTAGTAATGTGGTCCGAGATCGTGAGGAGGATCAAAGGGTGAAGTTGAATATGGAGGCCCGAGTCGGACGACTTTTGGGATACGAGTGAACTTAATTGTTCTGTCATCTTGGAAGTCGGCGAGAAACAACCGGAGGGGCAACAAAATAGCTGTTCCTGGAACTGTAGATAGTTGAGGTTGACTGGTAAAGGAACTAAAGCATGGAGAGTGCGGAGCTATCTTCGTTGTTTGTCGTGTTTGCATGGAGCTTCCCCACTATCACAAAGGATAGATGCGGCGTTCCTGAGCAACCATCTTCTGTCTATCCATCAGCTGTGGGAGAGGGTCGCTAGAGAGTGAAACATTTCAGACAAAATGGCATTACCATCAACGTATGATGAGGTGAAACTTCACCTGCAACAAGTCCTACGCGACCCCTCCATTCGCTTAGACATTCCCATCATTGACAAACTGAAGCTGCAGCTTACAGAGAGTACGGACAGCAGTGTCCCTGCAACTCTCTTGCCGCTGATCTCGCAGCTGCTTCCTGTGCTCCAAGAAGATCCCACTCCTATCACTTCACTTGCTATTAAGGCTACAGCATATACTAGCTTCACTGATCTCCGTTTGGTTGATCCTCCGATCGATTTCATTGCGGGCTTCAAGGCACCGTCGCCACCCATCAATTCACTAGCTTTAGCTTTACTGAGCAAGGCGGGACAGACGCCCAGCGACGCCGCCATAGTGGCCGGTGACTCCGAACTGGTCGCTTCCTTGGTGGAACTCTGGCTCTCGACCTCTTCAACTGCCGTCGCTCAGGCTGCTTTCGATGCTATCTGGGCACTACTAGAAGTTGATCTGACAAGTCCTCTAGAGAATGGGGAAGGTGCCAATGAAGGCCAAGAGGCTACTGGAGGGCAGGGCCTCGTGTGGAGGAGGATTTTCACGGACAGAGACGTTTATGGACGCTTATTTTCATTGTGCAGTCTCACCGAGGACGGCCCTGGAAGCCTTTCGAAACGCGACAAAACCGTAGCCCAAGGCCGTCTGATGGGCTTCCTTACGAAGGCTGGCAACCTGCGCTGGGACATTATCTCAAGCTCACAAATACCGGATATTGAGACTAGATACAATAGTAGCAGCCTTCTGCAGTTCGCGGCTTGTGAGATGGTCGACAGAACTGACGTTCTAATGCATATGACCTTGTTGAACTTCTTCCATGACCTTCTCGAGATCCAAGCCCCGGGTCTTACTGCTCGGTCCTTTGTCCAAGCGGCATCTACCTTCTCGTCCCCCGCTCTTGACTTCCTTATTTCGTACGACATACATTCCTCTCTCCTGGACTACTACTTGGACGAGTCGAAATTGGATCCTGTGGATCTGAACTATCTATGTGGTCCTATCATGGCTTACGTTGCGCAGTATGCGGAGTTGTATCCCAATCATTTTCTACAGAACCCCAAGCATCTATTAGATCGAATTCTATCACGGATTTCCGCATCGGTAACGATCTCATCCGCCCAGTGGGCACATGGGCCTGTCCCAAGCGGCCAACTCAATGTGCTTTCCTGCATTCCCCGAGTTCTGCTTGTGGATGCTACTAAACAGGGCCTAAACGCCGTTCTTGCTCTTCCCACGAGCCCACCCAACAAGGAGGCATTAGATGTGTTGAGCAAAATTCTTCACGGCCCTTCGAAACTGTACCTTGCCGATACGATGGAGCTCAATACCTCTGGTCAGACAGCCACAGATTGGCATAAAGAGGCAGCAGCAGCTCGGATACTTTACTTTATGTACTTGAACCAGCACAGCACTTTCTGGACGGACGTCGTCGCTGCGGCTGACATTTTGGCCATGAAGGACGTCTCTCTAGCAGCCATCTCCTTCATGAGAGCGATTATCACAGCGAACTGGGAGAAGCTCTCCAGGGAAGTGACTTCTTCTGTTCCAGGCACATCCCGGTACCAGCTTCCCTCTGAACAGGGTTTGGGCAGCCTGTCCCCAGCTTCTCAAGGAGTCCTTCCTTCATCGGGGGCCTGGGCAGCTCTCACCCCACCGGCTTTGACTGTCCTTTTACCTTATCTTTTCAAGGCACCCCGCTCGTATGCCGAGTTTGTTGGAGGTGGCGCTGGTGATTCACAAAACGCAGTTTGGAAAGTTGCAACGGCGAAATACGAGGTGCTAGTGGCATTGCACGATCATCTCAAGGAAACGGGCGGTGAGATAGCAGGATTCGAGGATATCATGCGCACACTGCAGCAGAGGGTAAACGAAGGGCCATGGGGACCAGTAACACAGAGTGGAAACCAAGTTGAGACCGTTGGTCTATAAAGTCTGTATTGTGGCTTCCCCAAGCGATGCATCACCAGAACTGTACCGTTATGTCAGCGCTCTCGAAGGATTATTCTCATTACTATACCAAAACCTACCAATTAAGATTATAATCGATTTGAGCATAACTATATCCCGCTACTTATCCTTCAATTCACTTGAACAATGATAGGGTTACATCTCGTAAGCCCTGACTGCCCTCTTGAGACTAATCCGGGAAGGCGGTGAGTCGAGTCTCCGCCGTAACTTTTTTTCTGATCGCCGCAAACTACTCCTCATCCATCATTTCTGCCGCAAAAGAAACCTTGACTCCAGAATATCATTTCGAAAACCCAGGGCAATCCAGCATACCTATAACAAAACTCCACATTTAAAGCTTCACCCATGTCCCGATTCGGAGCGAAAAAGGGCAGAAAGCTGCCCGGCGCAGAATTTACCTGGGACAATGACCCAAACGGGGAACCAGACACTGCGCCTACACCTCTCTACCCTGTATGTCCCTCTAACTTGTCCTTGCACAACTGAAGTGCAATTAAAGCCACTACACGAGAACAAGATGGAGAGCAGGATGCTTATACGGACTTTTCTTCTATTTCCCAGAAATACACCGTCCCGCAAGCCCGATCCTTAAACGAGCGCGAACAAAAGCAAGTCGACCTGTACCGGGCTCTTCGCGAGCAGTTCCACGATGGTCCCTACTACTCTGTTCTCGATCCGGGGTTGTCGGGTCGGAAGACGAAGGCGGCGAGGCAGCATTTCGATCCGTTTCACGGTATGCCGTCTTATTCGGGGAAGTATCAGAAGAAGAAGAGAGCCATTCCGAAATTGAGTGGGCGGCCTTATAGTGAGTTCCTTTTCCCCTTTCTTGCTTTCATTAAAAGTACAAGTGCAGCAAGGGGAGAGTGGTTGCTAATGATGCTTGAATTAGTTATGAAGTACTTCCCCCGCGACGATCTTTGGGAGGTCATTCAGCCGAACTTCAAGGCCGGTGCGGCGGTGGATGGGTTTGTTGCGCGGATGGTGCGACCGCCGATGAAGCGTGGATTCGAGGATGATGATGAAGAGGAAGAGGAAGATATCGGGAAGCGGCGGAAGACGGGCGATGAGGATGATGAGGGTGGTGAGAATGATGATCTCCTGGAACCGGATGATGAGCAGGGTGAGGAGGAGATTATGGACGATGACTTTGAGGATGACGATGATGAGATGGGTGGCGACTATAACGCTGAGCAGTACTTTGATGGCGGTGATGATGAATATGGGGACGATGGATTCGGGGATGGTGGCGGTGGCGGTGATGAGGATACTTATTAAAGCGGGAGAGCGCTTGCACTTTCTGAGATACCCTTCTTTTTTTTCGAATGTGGTTTCTTTTCTATAAGCGGTGTTTTGATATATCCTATATATGTGTATGGATGCATTTGCATGATGGAGCGGAATTGCATGCCGGTTTTCTTTTGAGTGATGCTTATGGACATCGGACTATGACCTGACATAATTTCGTTTCCCTCATTCTCATGCTGCACAGAACATGGGTTGTCAAAGGTAAGCATATATTCTAGGACCATCGCATACGAAAATGTGCCACGTGACTTAACATACCGAGTATATCCAAGACAGGACAAGAATATACTAGTAGCCAAGATAGCATAGAATAAGCACAGACAAGGATGCTCATTCATATACTTATCTAAGTATTTCACCATCGATACAGAACGTTACTATAATTGTACTTTTGTTACCAGCTCAACTCTTTCGCCCTATTTCTATTGAGCATATGTACTCGATAGAGCTACCTTGAACTAGATATATTCGTGGATAATATAGGCAGCCCTCAAACCTGTGCGGCCATGTAATTGTCGTCCATGATACATGGCTTCAGTTACTAAGTAAGTTCACCTCTAACCAAAATAGCTAACTAGTTACAGAGTCTTTGGAAGCCCCGCGATGCATCGTGCATGAGATGTTCAGCTCTAGTCATTTTGTATCGTGAAATCGATTACACCGTAGTAAATGGGTATAGACGAGCTCTGATAGACTGGAAAGGTTATTCTGGTATAATTTATGTGGACCGGGCTCCTCAGCTCCACCATGACAGATGACATCGGAGCTGAGCCGGTGCTGTCAATGTAACCTCATCCAAGTTTACCACAACTCAAAGCCTAATCTAACCCATAGTAAATAAACCTTATTGAGATAGATACGATCGGTGATCGCCCAGTGACACCATGGAGTCCAACTGTCTTCACGTCATTGTATAGATCTCGTTCTTGCGATGTCGACATTTCTGGATACTTTGATGACAAGCTCACTGGAATTTAAACAAGGCCTGGACCTTGACTTCTCTGAAAGTAGGATATCATGAATGCAAACGGAAATTCAGTAAACTTTACTATCTTGATGATATCACAATAGACGACTAGACTGGGTAGGTCGTGTTAAGAACAAGGTATTTAAGGGCTACAGTGCTCTTCGATCGTCGTAACTACTCACTCCTCAACTCATCCCTCTCATTTTTCTCTAGTAATATCTAATTCTAATACACCAATACTCAACATGCAGATCACCAAGTCGCTCGTCGCAGCCACCGTTGCGCTCTACACTTCCGCTGTTCTTGGAGAATCGGTTAAAGTATACGCTCAGCTCTATCACATCCCATACTTGACCTCAGAGCTGACTATCTATTGACTAGCTTGCCTATACCTCCAATGGCGACTTCTACCAGGAGGAGATCGATGCGGAAAAGCTCGTAAAATTGAAGCATCCGTAAGTTCTCATATCTACTATGGTTATGTATACTAACGATTTGGTCCTATAGAGGAGTCTTGACTGACATCCAAAACACAGCTAACTGTGTTTTGTGGCGGTACGTTTACACCTACAGTACATTCTTCTGCTTGGATTGCTCGCTTATCTTGCGCTTTAGCCATCACCCTAACCACCCTCCCGACTATCAGGCTAAGAGGGGCACAAATGTCATCATCCCACCCCAACAGCTTGATTATATCTATTGCTACGAGCCAGGCGGTGCCTGGGTTAACTACGTGTGGTAGATAAACAAAAGGGAGATATTCTTGTTCCATTGAGTAGGTACTGCTGGAGACGGGCTTGCAACTGAACAAAAGAGATGAGACGTGATCAAAGGAATCTGGCCCTGGTATAGGTTTTGCCCATCTTATATATAGGTTTCCCTATACCCTAGTGCGAATGCAAAGGGTTTTAATATTATCCCACTAAATTTTTGTATCTTGGAATTTGTATGCACTACTAGTCCCCAAGTTACTCTTCTAAGTATCATGTTTTTGTAGACTACTAGGACTAATAGAGAAAGCTTTCCTGAGATTATTATCTTCACCTTAGTATAGTACCTGTCTACCAAATGGTGCTATCTGCTTTGAGGATTTTGCATTCATCTTAGATCAGGAATACTTGAACAGGCGGACAGACTTGATTGGCTCAATGCCTGACGGGCCATGGACTTCTTATATTGAGATTGCTCTTAGTAGTTGATGGTGTTATACATCAGTTTTGATGGCCATGCCATGAATGCCTCTATGGAGTATAGAAATATACACAAGTAATGCACAATCACATAATCCGCTCTTTATACAATTTCATAAATAATGTAGCGACTTCGGCCTGACGTCATTCCTTCCCGCCAGCGAAAACCGCAAAAAAGGAGGGGTTATCAAACCCCGCGAACAAGACGAAGCAGCGCGGTAAAAGCACCTGCATTATGAGCGAGGATCAGAGCCCAGGGCCTCGTAAGCGGTCTGCTCTCATTCTGTATGGCTCGGAAACCGGCAATGCGCAAGAGGTGGCCGAAGAGCTGGGATCTCTGGCCGAGCGCCTCCATTTCATGACTCAGGTTTTGGAGATGAACCATGTCAAACCAGTGCAGCGCCCTCCCCCTCCCCCCAATCTATAGCCATGGCGGTTAAATAGAGTCAGGGCTAATGGTGGTATCCAGGAGACATTGAGCTCGTATACTATTGTTGTCTTTGCGATCTCGACGACGGGGCAGGGTGATCTACCTGCGAATGCACGGACGTTGGAGATCTTTGCTTTTGAAGAGGCTGCCGCCGTCGTTTTTGCAGGGCGTTAGTTTTACGTCGTTTGGGCTGGGGGATAGCTCTTATCCTAAGTGAGTTAAGTTTCTGTTGGGTGTGGCTGTTTGGGCTTGGTTTGCTTTGGTTCCTAACGTGGGAAAGGTTCAATTGGGCTTCGCGCAAGCTGTGTAAGAGATTGGTTCAGTTGGGCGCCAGTGAAACCTATCTTAGTGGAGAGGCGGATCAACAGCACCCAGAAGGGTATGTCGATAGTTAACTACCCTATGTTTCTACCCGTTGTATTGATGATTTTCCAGGCTGGAAGGAACCTTTATTCCTTGGATAACGGATTTCCGCAAGCACTTGTTGGACACATACCCTCTTCCTGAAGGTCAGGATCCGATACCGGATGATGTTCAATTACCACCAAAATGGGTGCTGCAATTACAGGATCAAACCCCAAGCTCCAGCGCAGACCTGGCTGTTCAAGGAACAGAGAATCAGAGCACTTCAGTCGAGGATTCAAAGTCTCGACTGGAGCATGACCACCGCCCAATCCCAGATACACTGACTGCAACACTAATCCAAAATAAAAGGGTGACGCCCCCAAAGCACTGGCAAGATGTACGACACGTCTCCCTGACGGTCCCCGACTCCGTCACCTATGTCCCCGGCGACATGATCTCCATTATGCCCAAGAACTTCGCCGAGGACGTCCAAGCCCTGATTCAGATGATGGGCTGGGAAGAGCAGGCCGATCAGTTGGTCTCTCTGGTCCCTGCTGATAGCCAGCACTCCATCGAAGACCTACCTTTACCACCCATTCCTAACCTGGAGTCGTACCCGAAGCTGACGCTACGCGCACTCATCACGGACTACTTGGATATCCGAACGATCCCTCGCCGGAGGTTCTTCTCGGAGATATCTCATTACACCAATGACGAGATGCAGAAGGAGCGACTACTTGAGTTTACTAACCCCGAATTCCTGGACGAGCTCTGGGATTATACCTCCCGACCGAGACGCAGTATCTTGGAGGTTTTACATGAGTTCGATACGGTGAAGATCCCATGGCAGCATGCGACGTCGGTATTCCCCGTTCTCAGAGGACGGCAATTTAGCATTGCTAGCGGAGGCGAACTGAAGCGGACACCCGAAGGTGGAGCTAAGTTCGAACTATTGATCGCCATTGTGAAATACAAGACCATAATCAAGAGAATCAGAGAGGGTGTCTGCACAAAGTATATTTCGGCACTCCAACCGGGGAGCACTCTGAAAGTTCACCTGCAGCGCGGAGGCCTGAATTCGTCGTTAGGTCAACTCTCTGGACCAACGGTTTTGGTTGGTCCCGGCACCGGAGTCGCGCCGTTACGGTCTATGATTTGGGAGAAAGCTGCCTTTGTCAAGGCGTATAAGGAGGAGCACGGTGGGGTTGAGCCGACCATTGGGCCTACTATTCTTCTCTTTGGAGGGCGTAACCGCAATGCTGATTTCTACTTCGACGAAGAGTGGCAGCAGCTTAGTAAATTGGTTAGATTGGAGGTCTTTGCGGCGTTCTCCAGGGACCAGAAACAGAAGGTCTATGTGCAGGACGTTATCCGGGATAACTTTGGACTATTCTTTAGACTCTTGCATGAGATGGCAGGGTCGGTGTATGTGTGCGGCTCGTCAGGACGAATGCCGCAAGCTGTCCGGGAGGCACTGATTGAGGCATTCCAGAACGGTGGGGCAACCGACGCAGAGCGCTTCAGCAGAGAAGAGGCAGAAGAATATTTGCTTGGCATGGAGAAGTCTGGGCGGTACAAGCAGGAGACATGGTAATAGATGTAGGAATCACATGCTATGGACATGACTATAGACGGAGCGTGAGTGTGTGGATAGACCCCACCGAACGAGGGCAAACGATTCAATGAACAAAACTAGAGAACCATCTACGTACAATGAGAATGAATCAATACCCGTAGTCCTATACTCTCAAATAGCAATTCGCCTTCCAATCCATTCGTACGTTTATTAAGCCTTGGGAATGTCTCCGTAACCTCGGTTGGAAGCGGAGGGTCGAGGCGGAAAGGGAAGAGAGCGTCGGGCCGCGTCGGCGCAACAGCAGCTCTCCGCCAAGTCACCTGCTTCTGTTCTGCCCCGGATCTGCTCCGACGCATCGGTCCTCAATTCACTACCCTCTTCTACCTCACTTTCTACTACCAAACGGCTGTCGCCCTCCATTGGCTTGAACAGATTAAAAGAGCTTCACAGTATCGCCCAGAATGGCCAGCGGTTTGCGAATCTTGGTACCCGTCAAGCGGGTGATCGACTACGCGGTGAGTTTTTGTTCTTTCGTGCTCTCCGTCTTCGGTGAAAGAGTCACCTCCGGCCGCAACCCCACGACCAGCGTGCTGGAGGGGTCTACGCCCACGCTGTCCTTTCAATGTTACCGAGTCCAATGTGACAGCTGGTGTCGGATACTAACATTCTAAAAATAAAATAGATCAAGCCCCGTATCAACAAGGCCCAGACCGGCGTCGAAACCGCCGGCGTCAAGCACTCGCTCAACCCATTCGACGAGCTCTCGATCGAGGAGGCTGTCCGTCTCCGTGAGCGCAAGGGTCCCCTTAAAGTCGAGAACATTCTCGCTCTCTCCGCGGGCGGAGCCAAATGCGCTGACACCCTCCGCACGGCGATGGCCATGGGCGCCGACCGCGCGTTCCACGTCGACGTCCCTGAGTCCAACGATGGGGGCCTGGAGCCTCTTACCATCGCGAAGATGCTGAAGGAGGTTGTGAACAAGGAGAACATCAACCTAGTGCTGCTCGGGAAGCAGGCTATCGATGGTGACCAGGGTCAGACCGGTCAGATGCTCGCGGGCCTGTTGGGCTGGCCTCAGGCGACGCAGGCCAGTAAGGTGGACATCAAGGACGACCAGGGAACAGTGGAGGTCACTCACGAAGTTGATGGCGGTGTTGAGACTCTGCGGGCTAAGTTGCCTCTCATCATTACTACCGATTTGCGACTCAACGAGCCGAGGTATGCTACTCTGCCGAACATCATGAAGGCCAAGAAGAAGCCGCTGGAGAAGAAGACGCTGGCGGACTTTGGTGTGGAGGATAAGAAGCGGTTGAAGACGCTGAAGGTCACTGGTGAGTTCCCTTGTTTGCTGAAGCGATGCTTTTCATTGTGTCAGGGCTAGCGCGGTTACTAACTTTTCTGCAGAACCCCCAGCTCGCCAGGGTGGCGGTAAGGTTGAGGACGTCGATGGATTGATCGGAAAGCTGAAGGAGCTGGGTGCTCTGTGAATCGTATAGTCGGTTAGTGTATGTTTATGATTACTTAGACTTCGTCTACCTATAAGCCAGTAGACCTCTATATTTCGCCAAGTTTGATTTCTTAAGTAAAATTATAATTTTTTTTCCTGACGTGTCGGAATCCGCTACTGCATCGATCAGACTTTCATAAAAATTCTAGATAAATCGACCTCGTGATATCCATCACCACGAAGTTCCCTCCCAACAAAAAACCACACCCTTACATATCGACACGAACCCAAGATAACTAGATCATGGGCTCTAGCGAATAACTTCCAAAGCCGTTCTAGCGGCCCATTAGCCCCAAGCTAACCCCAGTAAAGTTGGTGTCGAGTCAACGCAGACTCGATACATCCAAAAGACCCCGTCGATGAAATGATACATCAGACCGTGAACAGACATGGGTGTGGTGCTGATGGCCAGTCTCGTGGGGGAAGCGAGTCACAAAACTACAAGAAAACACACTCTCGGGTAGTTAATTTGTATCGTGAATACGTTTACGCAAGTGTTCGATATTGTCCTGCGCTTCTGAGACATACATGGTCGCTATCTTTAGTTAGTCGGGGTGTTCTGTAACTGACGGGTCTTAGTGTTATGTATGTATTAAGTAGGTGTATGCAAGTGCTGGTGTCCACCGCATTTGAAGTGGTGTGAGGGAGTTGTGCTGTGCAGCTTGGGTCTGTGTCATGTAGATTACTGTTCTAT